GGACTGATGCTGAAGCTGAAGCTCCAATACTTCGGCCACCTGATGCGAAGAACTGACTCATTTGAAAAGACCTGATGCTGGGAAAGATTGAAGGTGGGAGGAGAAGGGGATGACAGAGGATGAGATGGTTGGATGACATTACTGACTCGATGGACATGAGTCTGAGCAAGCTCCAGGAGTTGGTGATGGACCGGGAAGCCTGGCCTGTTGCAGTCCATGGGGTCACAAAGAGTCAGACATGACTGAGTGACTGAACTGAACTGAACTACAGGTTATAAATTAATTATGTGTCTAATTATTTGTAAAAGCAATATTTACTGAACACATGATATGTGCAATTTTCTGTGCTAGATACAATGACAGAGACACTATAAAGACATGGTGAACGGTATCCTTAGGACATTAAATAGGAGAGATGATGAGGATCAGACAGATAGAGCTTAAAAATATCCACGTGAGTTCTGACAAGGGATAGATGCTATCCAGGTAAAGGTTTCCAGAAAGACAATATGTAAAGGTTAGGATTGAGCTGAGCCTTAAAATATAAAGACACTTAGAAGATGTAGAAAATTAGAGAAAGGGGAGTAATGTTCCAATTGGGAATACCAGGAGCAAAGGTACATTTCCATCAAAACACCAGTGTTTCCAGTCCAGCCCCCAGCTTGACTGAGTCATACTCCCTCTGTCTGCTAAACATGGTGCCAGCTGCCACGCGGTCCTAAAAGCCAAAGACAGCCTCTCAAGGCATGGCCCTCTCTCAAACTTCTTGATAATAGCTCCTCATCCCTTCTTATTCTCACACAATCTGAAATCTTTACTTTCTTCAAGAGAGTTTCAGGAACATCGCTATCAGGAGCAGTGAGGACCCCAGGAGGAATTGTACAGAAACTGAAGAAGAGCTAAAAACAAAACAAGGACTGTGTTTAAAGTTTAGCTCACTTAAGATACCAAAGTTAATGAATTCCCAAACAGAACATGTGGGGGAAACAAACGAAATCCAGTCTCTAATGACATCCAGGTACCTGAAAACGCTTACCTTGTGTTCCCATAAAGGCAAACAGGGAACTGAATTTGAAAAACAAAGCAAGGCTAGTAAATTCCTGAAAGGAGACAGTTCTTTTTCCTTGGAGACAAACCAAATTATGCATTGCCTCTCCCACCAGCAATATACTCTGGCTCAAATATTTTTAAAAGAAGGCTGTTGAACATCTGCTAAGCAATTAATGGTATGCAGCAGCGTGCTGGAATGGTCCCTGGGAAGGTATTAGCAATCCTGCTTATGAGACATGAAATGTTGCAAGCAGTGGTCCTTCTTCCCTTTTTGAGATTGTATTTTATTTTTGTTTTCTCCCGCCTGCAGAGGAGATGAAAGGAAAGGGAAAGGAGCTTAGGTGGAAGTTCGGCATCAAATTCTCTTCCTCATCATGTCTTCTTTCCCCCAGGTAAGAAATGGGATATTTTTCTGCTTTCTCTTCCTAGCCATCCCAATATGAATGTGTTAATTTCAATTTAAACAAATGGTGGCAACTGCTCAATCCAACTGATCGCCTACCCAACATGCCAAGTTTTCTATGTGTGAAAGGAGAATTCCCTCCACTGTCTTGGTACCATAGTCTACCCTCTGTTCTAATAGTTTGGAAAAAAAAAAATCAGGTAGTTAAGAGTTAACTTAGGAACAATCTCCAACATAAAACTGATCCCTCCTATATTCTACTTCCTCATCACAGTCACTGAAGAGTGCCAGCCTTAACACAAGCCTTGCCTTTTGCTTATGAAAGCCTGGCTGAGAGTGACTTTGTACCTCTCTTCCTTGGAACTGCCTGTCCTAACACTATTATGACAACATGGCTAAAATCAATACAGCAAAAATTTCCAAGACTCAATTACTATGTCAGCCCTTGACATTCTCTTCTTTTATTCTTCAAACTGGAGCTGATTACCCACATATAAGTCTACGTTCACTCTGGTCATCCTAGGAAGCACAAAAGGCCAGGTAATCAGGTTTTGAATTACACTGCCAAAAGGTGTATGATAGATACTATCAGAACCTGGGAAAGCCTGGATGACTGGAAGCCAGATACTTTTCTCACTCTCTCCAAAATGGCCCAGTCTAAGTTTGGGCTTTTGCCTTAAACTGCAGTTTCCTTTTGTTCCCTTGGCAACCCTGCAGAGCACACATCTATGCTGCCGAGGTCTCTCCTTCCAATCTCAGCATGCTTACCTAAGCTCCCAGTAATATACTCCCTTTCGTCAGCCCCTCCTCTGAGGGATCTGAGTACTGTTCCCCAAATTTCCAGCTATGGGATAAATCATGAATATTAATTGGATAAATTTTCTAGATCTTCCCAACTTCGCATTACTCTTTGCCACCTGGAACTTAGACCAGTGGAACTATTTTTTCCTGGTTATCAGGAATGACCTTTCTTTCACCCATGTAACTATGGATCCATGGGTGACTTTGCTATATCCATTTTCCAGGCCAAGTCACTGGCACAGCAGTTTCAGATCATTACTCAATTTTTGAATTCCTATTTTTTTTGTTTTAAATCTGGATCCCAGATGTCATCACAGAAAGGCATCCTTAACTAATATATAATGTAAGATTCAAATTTAGGAAACAAATCAATCCATCTTTGGAGTGTGATATGACAACAACGGTCAGTGGCTTGGCCACTGGGCTGATGACAAGGGATGTTTCTGGACTTTGTTTTCCAGTTTAACCAACTATGTGTAACTGCCACGTGCCACCACTGCTCACCAAAGACCAAAGGCCAACCTTCTCGGCAGGAAACAGCTAAGGAGATCATCAAACGCCCTGAGGTAAGTTTGTTCAGGCCTTAGGCTTACAAGCTGCCCTCATAGGTGCTTCGCTGTTTTCACTCTCTGTGCATATGCTCAGCCATGCCCAACTCTTGCGACCCCATGGACTGTAGCCCGCCAGGCTCCTCTGTCCATGGGGATTCTCCAGGCAAGAATACTGGAGTGGGTTGCCATTTCCTGCTCCAGGGGATCTTTCTGACCTAGGGAGCAAACTTATGTCTCTTGTACTGCAGGCAGATTTCTTACCTCTGGGCCACTGGGGAAGCCCTTTCCTACTCTCTTATATTTTCTTTTTCTCTTCAGGACCTTTTCACCATCAGTATGGTTCGTAAAGTGGCATTTGTCAATGTGCTACCTGCCCAGCCTTCTCCACTGATGGAATCTTCATGGAGGCAGAGTCTCTATCCCATGCTGAGAACACTTCTTGGCTCAGAGTAGCCAGCAACTCAATAAATGTCTGTTGATGGATGCAACTGATTGCATCCATTTGCTGCAGAATAGCAAACTAGCTCTACTCAATCCTTGCTCCTAAGAGTCACCTTTCTCAAGTAACACTCTGAAATCAGTTACATCTCTACTCCTAGGTCTCCACAGCTTCTCAGAGTCCACCACAGGAAGAATAAACATCTCAGCCTGGCATATTTCCACCTTCCACCTCCACGTCCCATGCTTAGTACAGTGACTTTTATATGTTTGTTTTTTAAGTCACTGTTTTTTGTTTCGTTTTGTTTTTTGTTTTTTTAAGGAAAAACATTTTATGAAATCTTAATAAAGTAAAAATATGGAATCCAAGTAGAAAAGAGGCCAGTGGCCAACCTGCTTGGCCGCCTTTAGACCTAAGCACACCTCCAGGAACCTCTAGGAAACCAGAGAATGGAACTGGAAAAACCTGCTCCTTGTCCCCACTTATTCAGCATACTCAAAGCCCTTGGGGCTCTCACATTCCTTCCCTGATTATTCCAAGATTATGCTTGGAATACTCTCTTCAGTTCAATCCTATCCATCATTCAAGGTCCTACCCAAAGACCACCTCCTCCATTAAGCTTTCCTGTGTCATTTTGACTGTCTGCAATTTACCATTGCTTTAAATTTCTCATAAAACTTTGATTGTTAATAATAAAAAAGGATAAAAGGAAAAATAACACCTGACTCTGCACCAGGATTACCCTATGTGTGTAACCTAAACTAACTTGACCCTCACACAATTCCATTGTTACAGATGCTATAGAGAAGTCTCCTCTCAGAGTCTATACAAAAAGTAAATGATGAAACAAGACTGAAACCAGTGGTCTGGCTGCAAAACTGCAAAATCCAAGCACTGAGAAATGTGCTACTGCCTCTCTATAAAGGCATTTATGCATTTCACTTGTTTAGAGATCCCACCACTGCCCACTTCCCCCACCCCAAAGTACCACCACCACACGCCACCACCAAACTCTGAAACACCACAACTAGATTATACTTTCTGAAGGCAAAGGACATTGCCTACTGGCCTTTATGCAACACCAGCATAGAACTCTGAAAAAATAAAGACCCAATACATAGTGTTAATTTATTATTAATATAGCACAATAATATCTATTTTTATATACTTGGAACTACCTGAATTACTATTGAGACTTCTATATGGCCTTAGGAAGAATATTTTCCTCATCATCTTTTACAAGTGAAGAGACAGAAATTGAATGACATTCATTCATTTGTAAGATATTGACCAACCTGGGGTTCAGCTCCTGGATTTGGCCCAGGAGAGCTCCTAAGTCCCAGCTATTTCTATTATGCCTCGTTATCCCAAACTGAAAGAAAATTCTTCATAGCATGAATGATTTAAAAATAAAGTCTTGCAGAAAGACCAGAAAAAAATATTACTTGTAAAGTTAACTTTATTTTTAAGATTTCTGTAAGATGACATATGCTATTATTTGAGGGAATTTTAAGTGATTCACTGATGGGTTTTCGCCAGGAACCAGACAGGAAAATCACCTTTTTCTCTTGCCTTGCCAGTCCCCATGAAGGCAAAAAAAAAAAAAAAAAAAGAAAGAAGATAAGAAGAGAACCTCCAAAGAATGAAGCCCTATTTCTGATCAGCAGTGGCACCAGTTAGTCTTGTTTTGCTGAAAGATATTGGGATCCCCTTCTGCCAGAGTCACTAGCCAGAACCAAGGGATGCAACCACTGACCTGCTGTTAAGTGGGCTGCGTGGACAAGGACTTGGACCCCTGGCTTCAGCTCAAAGTGCACGGAGTTTTGGTTGAGCTTGTGAATCAGCAGTTCTGATATCTGAAAGGAGAAGAGTCAAAGTGAGTGCTGCTGAAGTTGTCACACCGACTATATACAAACGTGCTGAGCAGTATTTACCATGCTGATCAAGGCATCCTGATATTATACCTGGGAGTGATATAAGTGAGCTGTATATGATTTTAAGTTTTTAGTCCAGAATATGCAGATAGAATTATTTTCTAAGCATGACTTGACTTTATATCCAAATTGCTACAAAACAGGACAAACAATTAGGAAATCAGATCATTTCTACTCTTAAAAATTACCCAGGTATTAGTTTTAAAAAAATCACCCTGGGTTTCTTTTAGAGTGCATTTGTTATATACAAGGACTTAAAAGAAGCAAATAAGTAGAATTTACAAATTCTGATGAGATTCAGACCCATTAATTTTACTTCTTGATAGTAAACTCCATCTTATTCCCTATTTTGCTTCCCTCCTCTTACTCAACTTTCCAAGAAAAGGTAGTTCATGGGTATTTGTTGATGATAAATATTATTCTACTAAAATAATAACTTATGATGTTGTAGTTCAGTTGCTAAGTCATGTCCGACTCTTTGAGAGCCCCCATGAACTGTAGCAGGCCAGGCTTCCCTGTATTTATTTCAAATATATAATAAATCATACATTTGAAACAAAGCATAACCACAGCTTGACATGTTGGCTGACTCTTGTTTCATGCTATGAACCCAAAATCACTCCTCAGGCTGATGCATCTGTGCTGGGCAGACCCACAGAATTCTGGGCCATGAAACATTTAACCCCAACAAGTGAGTGACAAAGGACCTTGTTTTAGGTAGTAACAGTAAAAGGCAAGATTTTCTAGACAAGGTAAAACTGTGTTCATGTTTTTAAAGTAAAAAAAAAAAAAAACAGATCAATCTGCTGTTTAAGTCATCCTTTTGAATAATTTGTGAAAAGCTATCAGAAAAAACCACACTCCTATTATCTGGTCTCCTTGCCTCATTTTTAATGTTTTAAGCATCAATGTAATGTTCTATTTCATATGCTATTTAAGTCTAGTTAGATGCTTTCTGAATATCGTTCTGCTAGTTAAATTCTTAAATTATTTTTATTTTTATATTTATGGGCTTTCACTCAGTCCACTGAGTTGCCAAAATGACACCTTTGATCCTTTTATCAATTAAGCAGAGCCTGACAGCTTTGTTTTCAAGCAGAGTCTCTTGAAGAGGTCCCTGTTCAGTGATGGACTTGAACTGCCCTGCATATGAACTTCTCTGCTTAACAACAAGAATGTGGGATGACTGTCAGTGACCTGTGACCCAAGTCACGCACCTGGGGTCCAGTTCAAGCTCTGCCTCTCAAATATTTCCACTTAGCAGACTGTGCAGGGAAACCAGCTTATGATAAAATTATGTTGAAACAGTTTTATTCTCTCTACATAAGCTACTCTTTTTCCTGGGTAATGAGAAACTTACAGAACGCTCAAGGTTTACAGGAAGAGTGGATTTCTAACACAGATTGTGTAGAATGGGTTTCTTCTGTGTTCTGTAAAGTGTTACGGTTGTGCAAGTTCCTATTCTATCTTATTCTTATCATTCAATCAGTAAGACCTTACTAAGAATTTGATGGTGGATTTTTAGTAGAGGTTAAACAGAAAGGCTTGGCTCTTAAATAAACATACACACAGAGAAATGTGTATATATATATATATATATATGCAAAATATATAATCATGTATAAAATTAATATGCTTATGTACATTCACATACTTATATACATACACATACATATATACACATACATATGTAATTGTATTTGCAGAAAAAATATTTTAAATTGAATAAGAAAACATTGGAAGTAATTAAGAAATTGTCCTGTTTTGCAGAGTCCATCCCATGGACAAAACGGGACTGTGTATATGCATGAGAAAGACTTTTCTCTTCCAACTTGCTGAAATGATATGTATTTCTTTTCCCTGAAAATGTTTCTTCCTCAAGAAAGAGATATAGATAAGAAACCAGAAAAGTGTTCATCTGAACAACATACTTCTAATTTATAATCTCCAAGAGAGTCCCTTGAAGAAAATAATTAACTTCCCAAATTTGTTCTGGTTTATAACAGTGCTTCATCGGTTTTATCTGTATCATTTACAAAATTAAACAGGCTATGCAAAAATGGTAGCAGAGAAAGTATATTTCATGGATTTCACCTGCATCAAAGAACACACAAAAAAGATAACACACTTGGTGGTGTGTGAAAGAACTTGTGCATGGAAACAGAACTAAATAAAATTTACACTGCATACAAGAATGAGCTCAATTAGATAACATGCATTTCTCTGTGCAAGTAAATGAGTACAAAACTGTTGACAGATTTTGACAATATTTTAAATGTTTTCCATGCCACCTGCAGAAGCATTTATCCTGTATTGTTTTCATCATTTGTGAATTATTACATATATTTTCATATATACAATATATAATGTATAATATCGATGCATTGAATACTTTCTATTGGTAAAGTTACATATTTCTCACTATTTTTTTCCCTAGGACAACATAGCTCCATTGAAAGCAACATGAAGCCTAAAGGACACTCCTAAGTTTATCCTGTTAATATTTGAAGAATTGAGACTAGAATTTCATTCTGTTTGACTCCTAATCTTAGGGCATTTCCATAAACAACATTTTCCTCGAGCCAGCTGACAAAGACACAAAAAGTATATAGGAGGAGGTCCAGCTGAGCACATTTAGGAGATAAAAAATTGTAGCATATCATTAACTATGCTTCTATTTCTCATCCAACTGTGAAGCACATGATTTGCAACACCAGGCCCGTGTCATCTGACCAATTTGAGCTACAGGCAATTCCTAACCGTAGCCTCAGGACTGCTACATTCGATTCAACAGTTAATATAATTTACAATGTTTGGGAGAGTCTTTGGCCACGAAAGGAACAGAATGAGCTGTGACTATAGAGCAGTGTGGTGACAGCCTAAACGAAAGAACACAAGCTTGCATGATGAAGCCTCGAGTGAAACAGTCTGTAATTGCTGGGAGATCAGTCCTCCTCGAGCAAGCTGAATCTGTTCATTTTTCTTTCTCTTGTCCAGTGCAAGTGTGTCGTCTTAGCAAACTTCATTTACCTTTGTACTGTCACCCCTCTTCTACAACTCTCCATTTTCTATTCTCCTTCAGCTAAATAATCATGAGCAAAGAAAAATCTATTATTCTCGGTGTCTGCCTATTTGATGAAATATGCCTATGATTCAAATGCAAACCATACTTCATTTAAACTACCACTTAAATAGACAGGGGCAACTCAATACAAATACTTGGAAGGACACTATCAAAAGGGTGCTGTGGAAGGGACCAGGTATGTGGAAAACACCAATTCTCCTTTTCAGCATCTTCACAAGCATGAAATTTGAGTGTGGTAATTAGAACAGGGGTGAGGCTGAGGTAATGATGCTACAGTTTTGAGGACTTGAAACAAAGGAAGTGTGCATTCTGCTTAACGCTCCATATCCACTGCAGGAAGATGTGACGCTGAGCTCATTCTAGTCACACAGGGACATCGGCTGGTAGATCAGCCCCCTCAGATGCACACACCACCAGAGGAAGGGAAAAAAGAGTTCTCTGGGTTCTAGAGACAAAATTTGAATACTTCAGCTTGGAAGTGACTCATCACTTCTGCTCCCACTTCATTGGCCAGAATTAGTCACATGGCTCTGCTTACAGAAGAGACTAATGGGTATAATCTACCGGTACCCAGAAACGGTGAGCTGGAGACGTGTGGTCAACAGAATAGATCGCTACCACATAAAGAACACATTCAACATCCAGACAATGCTTAATGAAACCAACAGAGGAAAATCGACTCTCAGATCATGAGAATGGAAGTGTCAAATGCTGAAACATGAAGAAAGAGAAGCTTAAGAACAATGGAGCAGTGGTAATTTATGAAGCATGGCACCCAAAGAAATGGTACAAAGCGAAACTATTAATACACACTCAAAATGGGCTTGGGCTTCCTTAGTGGCTCAGATGGTAGAGTCTGCCTGCAGTGTAGGAGACCTGGGTTTGATCCCTGGGTCAAGAAGATCCCCTGGAGAAGGGAATGGCAACCCACTTCAGTACTCTTGCCTGGAAAATCCCATGGATGGAGGAGTCTAGCAGGCCACAGTCCATTGGGTCACAAAGAGTCAGACACAACTGAGAGACTTCACTTTCTTTCTTTCTTTCTTTTCAATATGGGCTTCAGCAGATTTATCAATGGCAAAGCTATATTGGGCCACACAACTAATGCTTATCTGAAGTTGTGAGGAGGGATGGAAACCCTATTGAACATAAGGAACATTTTGGTGCCAGGTTTAGAAGGAGACTTGCCTGGGATTACCTTGGAATGGACATAGTCAAGCCTGATCCTGTTAGGTTAAGGCCTCTTCAAAGAGTAATTGAATGACATTACTTTTGGAATTAACAGAGAAAGATCTTTCCCAATTAACATGATTTCTGGGTTAATACATGGAAGAAGCAATGGAGCCAAACAGGACTTCTGCTTATCAATTCCGTTCTTTGTTAGCACCAGAGAATCAGCTTGACTACAGTGTCTAAGAAGTTCTTCCTGGATGACATAATGAAGAAATGTGGCCCAGTTCACTTCCTTTCCCTAAATTCACCATCACCAGCTCCAAACGTCCTTCTCCTTTTGCTGTATTCTTTCAGCACAACTCTTACCTATTCTTTCGATTATAACTTCCTGTTTTAGTGACCTTCCATGTGAACTTCAAAATGTTTCTACAGTTCCTCTCTTTGAAAAATCTGGACAGGGCAGACTGAATATATCAAAAATAGCCTAAGATTATTTATTACATTTCACAATGAATCTTTAACTTCTAAAAATATTGTCAAAAACCTGTTCCACTTTCAGAGGTACTTTTCCTTTCCCTGATTTTGGTTTCACCTGTCAAATGTATATGACAACACAAACAACTAAAGAGGAAATTCATTGTTGGTGGTTGACATTTTGTCCATAGTCGTCTGTTCCTTTTAAATGTGTCCGTGCCCTTTAAGGATTCAACAAGACAACATGCAGGCTCCCTATCTCCCCAGCACAGCATCACAGACGCAGCATGATGGTCCTTCCTCCTTCCAGGAAAGCCAGATACAAATCTGCTCACCTCTGAGGACTCAGAGAGAAGCAAGTACAGTGGTGCAGGGTGGGGTATGCTCCACACCTGAGCATCTGGCCTCAGGTAGCAAGAGAGTCTATTCCTGATGAGGCCAGCTAAGGGCAAGTGAGCCTTTTCTCACTCTCTGGAGATGTGAAGTCAAGAGTGGTGGAACCCTCCCAGACAGAGGTCACTTGATTAACCCAGCGCAACGTTATCCGGATAACAAGGTCAAGGGCTTCTCACTGTGAGGAATTTTCAATTTATTTCACAGACAAGATAACTCAATCTAAGCTAGCATCTGTCCTCCCTGGGGAATGCTGTTAGAGGAAGTAAGGGAGGAGAGCCAAGAGCCCTTTGCTGGGGCCCTGCCCTCCCAGTCATCAGGATCCACCTGGCCAGGTCCCACTTTTTCCCCTGCTGGGAATTCTGTGCAGTAACTTTACAAGAAAGGGGCCAGAGTATTGAGAGAGGGAATAAAGCCAGCTCTTCCCAAGTTTCATCTAATTCGGAGTGCAGCCTTTAAAGGAGTGGGGTCCTGGTTGTTTTTTTACTTTGCCCTCAGTTGCAATTTCTATGTAATTTATGACAAAGGAAGTCAGTTGCTTTTGCCTGCCTCTGGTTCCTTCTCTCTCCCCCATATTTTTCTTTAAGGACCCATGTCCTTCTTCATTATCAGCCCATTTGACTTAGGAGGGGCTCCCTTAACTCCTGATCCTAGAGAGGGTATGACACATTGAGTTATCACTGACAGAGCCCTAGCCTTGTGACTACCAGACTAGTTGAGACATCTCCACTTTACCGAAGTCGAACCTATGAGAATTATCACCCTAGGCTTTTGGGGTGTGCTCAGGGGAGAGGCACTATCTTTTGAATGGAATTATAAGATGACTAAATAAAAGACTGGGGCCTCCTGGGGCCATTCTCCTCTTCCTGTGTGCTGGCTTCATTCTCAGACAGACTTCTCATGTGGTCACAACAGCAAGAGATCGAGAAAGAGGGAGAGACAAAGGTGGGGAGTAAGTTGATGATACTTTCTCTCTGAGTTATCCATGCCTGAGCTGGACTTCCCAACTAAATAAGCTTGTAACTGCAAATTTCCAGTGAAATTTGTTTGATCAGAATATATGTTCATTTCATCAGGGGAAAAAAAAAAACCCCAAACCCTACAAAACTCAAAGCAAAGCATCTGTTGCTCATCTCCTGGGGCAGCAGCCTTGATATCTGGGGGCTTTGCAGAAGTCAAGTGGTACCCAAATCCACATGGGCAGCATGACGGAACAAGGGGACCAGTAGACTTGAGAGTTAGTTGCAGAAACAGAACTAGAATCCCCTTCTCCTTAAAGAGTTGTGTCTCCTCAGGCAATTCCCAGCTCCCTGTTGGGGTCTGAACTCATTAATTTCAAAGTGACTGAGTCGAGGGAAGAACTAAAGGACCTCTCTTAGGATCATGACTATAGGATTCCTGTGGGCAGCACTTGTATTGCTGGTTCTTGACACAGGCTTAGTTTACATATTGATTTCATTACTGTACTTATTAATTGGGTAATACAGGTTCCATAAGACACTGATTTCTCATATGCTGGGTTTGGTCACTGAAATTAGTTTCATTCCTGGATAAGGCTGCTACACTGGCAATTACCTTAACCAAAGTTACAATCTCCCTTGGTACTCTGCCACTTTTGCTTAATGCTGTCCATCTGCATGATAACTTAGATGAGTCATCTTCCCTCTAGTTTACTCATGCATGTGTGTTCTTTCTGTTTCCTGCTATCTTTGTTCTTTCCTGTAATTTCACTCATTAATCTTTTTCTCCTTATTGTCACCATCTTCTTTCTGCCAATGCATGCCCTGGACTATACTAGTCTTTAATATATATGCCTCTATATATTTTTTGCATTTCTCATATACTCTCCTATCACAAAACGTCCATAAAGGTAACCATTATCTACTTGCCATTTATTGAGTAACCTCTATAGGTCAAGGGCTTTGCTGTATCATTTCTTTAATGATCTCTCAAACACCCCATGAGACAGGTATTATTGATTACGTGATTTTTGGCTGGATTATTGATCTTTTCTGAATTTTCCTCATCTATAAGATATAAGCAATGGATATAAGAGCTGAAACTAGAAACCTGGTCTATATTTCTCCAAACCTGTGGTCTTTCTAAAACATATCTGAACTCCCTACATGTGAACAAAATGTTAAGTTCCACAGCTTTCAAGCAAGCCAAGCCAACTGCCTTTGGGTCTCTGATTAATGGCTCATCAGTACATGATACTTGGCTGCCTCAGGAACACTCACTCAGGTCTCTGAGAATGTCTCTGGAGAAGACACTCAGACAAGATAAAGAGAAAGAAGAACTCTGTGGAAAACAGACAGTTAGAGCAAGATATACCCTCACATGAGTAAACCAAGTTTCAGAGAACACATGCCTCTTCTTTCTACATTTTCTCTCAAATAAACATCTAGAAACTGTATTTTAGAGAGAGAATGAAAAGTATTGGGAATTGAGATGTGCAGATGATGTGGTACCTGGGAACTTAGCTGGCTCTAAATCTGGACTCTTCCGTATTGAGAAGATGATATTCTGGATTTCATGTGCAAGCCATAAGATTTCCAGAGAAGGCATAAATATACATGTTTCAACCTAAACGCTCAGGATAGGGATCTACACCCCTCTCGGTCTCATCAGCAGTGTGGTGATAAGAAATACTCCATTCTTCCTCCCACTGAACTGTAGGTGCAGAGAATAATTTGTAGAAAATGACAGGAAGCCGAAAGCGAGTGCTGAGGAAAGTCAGATGCAAAGTTGATGGGTTCCCTGCTGTCTGATGTTCAAGTGCAGTTCATGAGGAGATGGGGTTCACTGGGATTTTCCTTGACAGCTCTGTCATTTGTTATTTGCACATGAAAAAAAATATAGATGTGAGTCTTCTGCCAACTGAGAAAGCGACTGTTGAAAGGTGGGTGTGTACTAGGAGGTGGGCCAGGTTGTAATTTGGGGTTGTTGTTAACAAGGCTGTGATGGAGGTTTCTCAAGTCATCTTGGAGACTAGAGATCGAGGGGCTAGATTATGGGTTAATTCTAAGTAAACTGAAAAGCTCCAAGTACTAAAAGGAGAAAAAGTTAATATTTACTTAGTGCCTGAGAGGAATCCTGTTTTTAATATATCTGTCAGAGAGCATTGAGAAACCAACGTCATATAGTTTCCAACAGGGTGACCAGAGCAAGACTGGTCATTTTAACTGACCGGGTAAAGAATAAGAACAGCAATAAAGACATCATCATAGTAATAATCCTCACTGTGTGTGCGTGTTAAGTTGATTCAGTCTTGTCTGACTCTCGGTGACCATATGGACTATAGCCCACCAAAGCTCCTCTGTCCGTGGGATTCTCTAGCCAAGAATACAGGAGTGGGCTGCCCTCCTCTGGGGGATCTTCCCAACCCAGGGATTGAATCCGTGTCTCTTACATCTACTTGCATTGGCAGGCAGGTTCGTTACCACTAGCACCACCTGGAAAGCCCAATCCTCACTACAGAGATTGATAATCTGAAGTTAAAAGGAAGAGTGGGAGAAAAAAGTTCTAAGGGAGCAGAAGAGAGAGAACCTCTCTCTCTCTCTCTCACACACACACACACAAACACACAGACACTCATACTCCAGAGGTGCTGGAGATGAGGAAAGTGAATCCCATATAGCCAGGGGAGGTACTTGGAGTCAACTCATTCATTCATTATAAACATTCAATTCATTATCAATTACTCATTCATTATAAACTCAAATCATCATAGACTGGTGGTGATAAAGAGGACTCATGATTTGTATAAAAGTTGTGCCTTTTTAAAAAGATACACCATTTGATTCTCAAGGATTCTGTGGTGGCTCAGAGAGTAAAGAGTCTGCCGGCAATGCAGGAGACCTGAGTTTGATCCCTGAGTCAGGAAGATCCCCTGGAGAAGAAAGTGGCAACTGATTCCAGTATTCTTGCCTGTAAAATCCCATGGACGGAGGAGTCTGGCAGGCCACAGTCCATAGGGTCGCAAAGAGCCAGACACGACTGAGTGACTTTACTTTCACTTTGATTCTCATGATGCAAGTATGTGAAGCAACATAAATCGATTCTACTTTCACACATTGTTCGGCCTCTTGCGTTTTTCCTGCCACCTAATACCTTGGACAGTTTGCCATGTCAGCACACAGATCTATCTTGTCTACTGTAAACATTGTAGATGGATATACCCTGGATGGTTTAGCCACTGCTGACAATACATACTCTTGCATGTGTTTCCTGGTGATGCTGTAGTTACATCTCCAGATTACGTTTCTTCAGGGAGGATGGGAAAGTGGAAGGGTCCACAGGCAGCTGGAGTCCTCACTCCCAAGTGGGGACCCCCAGAGCTGCTGTCCTGGTCAGGCACTAGCAGGGTCGTGGCTCAGAGAGGGAGAAGCTGACATGTCACCTGGGGACTCACCTGCTCCAGGTCCTCGGCTGACCTTTTGTTTTCTCCTGTGGGATCCTGATGGGGTAAGACAAAGAGCTCGGCAGCGGTGGGCAGGCCAGGCAGCACTGCCACCAAGATGTGCTGGCCCGGAACCCCGGTGGCCTGAGGGAGAGACAGAGGCACATGTGAGTCCCGGGGGAGAGCTTATGAGAAGGATCCACGTGTTCAGTGGGGAGCTGGGGGGTGGTGCAATAAGAGGGCACGCGGGTGTGGAGACAGGGTGTGAAAGCAGGGTCCTGCTGCACTTGTGGGGGAGGGATGCAAGGGCCAGAACTGGGTTCAAGCCAGACTCTGAGGTCTGGTCCTCCGCTCTATCCCCATGAGACCTTAAACACTTTGCATCCCCTCAAATTTAAAAGTGGCATAATGGTGGTACCTGCCTTGTAAAAGTAAGTAAACCCTGTCAGTGAGAAGGCCATCACTGAGCCTTATCTTCTGCCCCTCGAGCTGTAACACTTTCTAACTTAGCTTCCTCCTTCCTCAAACTACTAGAGTTCCTTCCAAATCCACCAGGCATACCTCTATCACCTAACCTAACAGCAAGCCCCAGACCACAGCCTCCAGGTATTTGTTGAGTTCTCCACAGCATCCGACTCTAATGATCAGTTAAGGAAGTTCTCTTAGCCCTTCCCCCTGCTACCCTTCAAAAAAGATAAAGATCATTACAGTATACTAACACATATATATGGAATTTAGAAAGATGGTAATGATAACCCTATATGCAAAACAGAAAAAGAGACACAGATGTACAGAACAGACTTTTGGACTCTGTGGGAGAAGGCAAGGGAGGGATGTTTCAAGAGAACAGCATCGAAACATGTATATTATCTAGGGTGAAACAGATCACTAGCCCAGGTTGGATGCATGAGACAAGTGCTCGGACCTGGTGCACTGGGAAGACCCAGAGGGATCGGGTGGAGAGGGAGGTGGGAGGGGGGATCGGGATGGGGAATACATGTATATCCATGGCTGATTCATGTCAATGTATGACAAAAACCACTACAATATTGTAAAGTAATTAGCCTCCAACTAATTAAAAAAAAAACCAAAAACAATCTTCTATTAAAATCATCCACATCACTCAAAAACTTCCTCTTACTAAGCCTACTTTCTAGATGGTTCTAGAATTCAGTTGGCTACAATTTCAGCTTTTCTCTGCAGCATTCAGTCAGAACATCCAGTCAGCATCCAATCATTTGGTTGTTATACAAGAACTCCTCATATTTACCCCAAAATCTTCATTCTGCATGTGGATGAATGGAGGCACTCTTTTCCCAAATACCCCAGCAGGAAACCTTATCTCACCTATGATACCACACTCTCCTTTCCACATCCTATCTAATCAGCCTATGAGATCTTGACAAATGACCCTATTGGTTCCTTCCTATTTAAATCCCTCCTCCACCCCTGCCTTGTTAATATCTCAATTCAGCCTCTGTGTTCTCTCTCCTCAGGCTTTATAACAGCCTCCCCATCTCCAGGAAACAGACTACTACCAACACTTCAAGATTCATCCCACTGTCTAACTCAGATTATGTGTCCCCATCTAAATTCATGCACAAATTATCACTGCCAACCTGATTGGATTTACATTCAAAGCCTTCAGCAACATGGTCCCACCTTTTCTTCCTACACTAATTATCCACAGCTCACACAGACATCTTATGCTTAACTGAACAGACTCATCTACAATTTCTCAACATTTCCAGCCTTTTCTCAAAATGTTTCTGTGTATCTCCCCTGAATATCTTTCCTATACATTTGCTGCTAGAACATCATGAAGTTCTAGGACAACATAAAGTCCACTCATTTCAGTATACTGGTCATGATTTCCAGCTAGGTGACCGTTGGGTTCTGAAACATACTTTTATATCTCTCTTGAAGTCGTAAGAAATTCCATTTACTGGATCTTTATCATGTTTCTGGCACTGTTCTAAGAACTTCTTAATATAATGTAATGCAATCTCCCACAAGCACTCTTTGAAGCAAGTATGACTATACCTCTCTGTGCAGGTGAAGACACAGGTTGCGAGTCCCCAGGAAGCTGGCTCTGAGCTTAGCCTGTAGGGTGTTTACTAGGGGACATTCTTTGAATCAACAGCTATAGGAGTGAAGGCAAGGAAACGAGAATGGGCAGAGGGAGAAGCTGAACTATGATAAAGGTCATCAGCAGCCTCAGATGACCTTGAAGAGAAAGAGAATAGCCCTTCAGATTTGCCTGAGGTTGAGCTGAGAGCATCACTGGACTTGAGCCACTCAGAAAGGAACACAGTGTGGGGGAAAGGCAGCTGAAACTTCTGCCCACAGCTCTCCCAGCAGCTAAGACAACTGTATCTCCCGTAAGGGGAATCTGGATGGCACATCCCTATTTCTGCTACAGGACAGACAGTAGACGGAGGAAAGCTCAGCAGTGGCTCAATGCCATCTAAGTAACAAATGGTGACACTCAGTTTGGAACCTTGGTCTGACCATGATGCCTCTGTCCTTAACCAGGGCTCTCCTGTCTTCTTCCTCCTAACACACAAAGCAGCTTCTGTCCCAGCTGGTAACACACTGTTTTATAGCCCTCCAGGATGCTCAACTTAAATATTATTTCTAAACTCATTCTTATCATCGACAATATTTACTGAAGGACTTTCAATTAAAGATCCCATTGCAAAATATCAATAGAAAAACCCCAGTTGATGAGGAAAAAGGCAATTGATTTACATATTGAATTTCATTAGAGAATGAATAGGAAGAAAACTACAATTAAGTTGACATCCAGTCAAGCTTCTTATAGAGCTTATTAGGGGACACCTGGCAATAGGGTGTGTTCTCTGGGACTTAAGGAAGTGGCTGAGAATATTTACTCATCTCAAAGCCAAGGTGGGGAGCTAGGAACCAGGGCTGGTTCAGCTGCCTCTTAGGATTGGGTAACCAAGGAATCTTCAAAACTCCCTCCACCCCATCACCTCTTATCCTGAGGGATGTGGAGCTAACCTGTTTGTTCTGCATTTAGCTGATTATGCTCTGCAGTGGCCTAGAAATATTAATGAGCAGTCATATCTAACCTAGTGGACAGCTGATGGGAGGGCGGCAGCCCAGAGCATCCCATCCCCTTACAATTAATATGAAGAGGAGCCAGCCTGGAAAACATCACTGCTGAACTAAGGCTTGGTTGATAAGTCACCTGGGGGTGTTGGACAGCTGCCTAGGAGATCTACAGGGACACAGATCTCTGAAGGAGGTGGGCTGTGGGTTCACTGAGGCCTGTAAGTCATCTCTCCAGGACAGCAGAGAAGAGAAACCAGCAGCTCCAAGGATAAAGGAGCCTGTGGTTTGGTAGCTTCGCCCCCTGGTGGCCATAATGTTTAGCCACCGACAATGTCATAGCCACTCAAGAGTCGTTAAGAAAGACAAAAGTGGGATGGCATTTACCCAGAGGTGCAGAAAATAACCCTTCTCCATCCCACTATTCCAATCGCTCTTGCCTCTCCATCTAACAAAGCAAAGGACAGCAGCAGAGTGGAGTGGGTAGAAAACTACTGGATCAAGATTTAAACCTTGAGGTCTAACTCCAGAGCCTGATTTTAAACAGTACAACCTTGGGCAAGTTACTTGCCTCTATTCACCTGTAAAATGGGGATCATCATACTATCCATTTCTACACCATAAGCTAAGTTTTTTTTGGTGGTTATATGTGTCTAAAAAATGCAAAACACTGAGAAGAGTTTCTGGAATTTGTAAAGTGCTAAATGAATATCCACAAATACAATGGTATGATTAAGGGGAACATCAGCTCTTTGCCAAAAGGCTGAATGTGAGATCAGTTTTCTGAGCTGGGGTTATCTGAACGTCTTTAACTCTCCTCATCCCTTTGTGTCGTGAGGCACCATGTGTCAGGCACAGGAGAGAATGTATAACTAATCCTAAATTGACTTTTCTTTTAGGCAAAGAGTAGACCTTATTTTCTTGGGCGCCAAAATCACTGCAGATGGTGATAGCAGCCATGAAATTAAAAGATGCTTGCTCCTTGGAAGAAAAGCTATGACAAACCTAGACAGCATATTAGAAAATAGAGACATCACTTTGCTGACAAAGGTCCAGCTAGTCAAAGCTATGGTTTTTCCAGAAGTCAAGTATGGATGTGAGAGTTGGACCATAAAGAAGGCTGAGCACCAAAGAATTGATGATTTCAATTAATGCTTTCAATCTGTGGTGCTGAAGAAGACTCCTGAGAGTCCCTTGGACACTAAGGAGGTCAAATCAGTCAATTCTAAAGGAAATCAGTCCCGATTATTCATTGGAAGGACTGATGCTGCAGCTGAAGCTCTAATACTTTGGCCACCTGATGCGAAGTGTTGACCTGACGAAAAGAGTCAACTGAAGAAAAGACCCTGATGCTAGGCAAGATTGAGGGCAGGAGGAGAACAGAGCAATAGAGCATGAGATTGTTGGATGGTATCATTGACTCAATGGACACAAGTTTGAGCAAACTCCAGGAGATAGTCAAGGACACGGAAGCCTGGCATGCTCACAGAGAGTCAGACACGACTGAGCGACTGAAGAATAACAACAAAGAGTAGACCTTAGGGAAAAGTCATTTCTGATTTTCTGGGTTTGTGCAATAAACCCAAGCAGCTATATGAGTAGATATTCCATTTCTCTGATTGTTTATGGAAGTGGAGTATGCAGGCGGAATGTGCCTAGAAGAAGATGTCTTGTCAAATTGTGGGTGACATTTGTTCAGAAGGGGATGAACCACACCACCTTGTTACCCTCCCCGGAACCAGAAGCGGCTGTGATTCACATGAAAAATCCCAGACACTGGATTCAGATCCTTCACTTTAATTTTGTAGCTTTGTCACTTATTAGCTGTGAGGCTTTAGACAAGTTATTTAACTTCTCTGAACCTCAATTGCTTAATCAACAAATAAAGACAATAATATTTTGCTCTGGGGGCTGTTGTGGGAAAGGAATGCTGTTAAAAAGAACTGGGACACAGTAAGATGACTACCTTCCTGTGCTGGGCACTCACTGTGCTGTTGTGCTGGCCATTCACGGGGCTGGAACCCAGCCTGCTCTTACTAACGGCATTCACTCCTTGCCTTTCAGTATTATGCCCAGTAGCTATTTTACACGTACTGACAGCTAACTGTGAATTCTGCCATATGACTGTCACATATTTCCATGGTCTCCTCTAAGCAGAACATAAAGGGTAAGGACCCTGTGATTATTCAATTTCCTGTCCCCCATGGCACCCGTGACATATCTGCACATGGGGGGGCTCAGCTTTGCAGGTATCAGGCTGATGACACCCACCTCCCCTGGCCTCTGGCTGTTTCCTGCCATTTCTTAATGCAAGGGTTCCCTCTCCGTGAAGGACAAGAGCAGATAGGGGAAGGGCCTGGGCCAGAAGGAGCTGGCTACACTCACCTCCACCAAGGCCTTTTTGATGACTCGGCTGACGTCTCTCCTCCACTCAGGGATGTCTGGGTTGTAATCGTCCAGGTTTGGAGAAAAGGACAGGCGAAGAGATCGGAATTCCTCTGTGGACCCCAGAGTAGAGGGGTTACTATAAGTCAGATCGGCCTCTCAGGAAGTCTGTTACACTTTCTATTTCATGCAAAGCCCTAATGCAGGGTCCTTGTCCTCCACACTCACCAGAGAGACCTTACTAGAAGGCAAAGTCAACATCCCATCCCTCTTACCTCCGAGCTCCTTTTCCAGGCCAAAGCTTTAGTCTGTGACCCATGCTTCACTCCACAGCTTTGTGCATTGTCCCCAGTTCTAGCCCTTGGGCTCCTGGACACTAAATGCACACACCTGGAGCACTCTGACTGCATCACAGGTTTCTGCCCCTGGACTTCTGAACACACAGCCCCTTCCCCAGAATGGTCCCCTCTTCCCACCTTCCATGCATGCAGCACTCAAGCTCTAGTCTGAGTCCTCACTGACTTAATACTCTGCCCACCATGTTTTACTTTTCTTTTTTATGGTACAGCTGTGCTCTGCACATACTTTCATTATCATTATATAATAATCATATTATATGATTATATAATTATAAAACTCATCATAGTCATTCTTGCTAAATTTGGTTTGCATGGGAATTTCGTTGAAAGGAATGTTCAGCTCTTTATTTCAAGGATTTTGCTAGTTGACACAGTAGCCTCTGAGTTAATCTTGGTCCTCCAGGAAGTAGGTGAAATGATAAAGGCTATGATTTTGTGAGGAGAATTGTCTATAACAGAATATGGGGAGGAGACCAGAGAATCTTGGAGCACCGTCAGACCCTGCTACATACATGACACAGTGCAAGAGCGGGAGGAAGGTTCAGCGAGACTGATGGGAGATCCATGAGCTGAAGTCAGCTAGAGCAGCCCTGTGTCCCAAGAATGGGTTCACCTTAGCATTCCTGCTGCATCCGATCACTGGCTGGATGCTACAGCCTTGGTCTGAACACGGTGACAGGTTTCAGAGCACAGCCCTGAGGGGGTCTTACCACACAATATACTCAGACCACACTGCTCCCCTGAAATCTGTGGGAAGCCCCACACTGCACTTAGAATAAATTCAGATTCATGTCGCAGCCTTCATGGTGCCACACAAACCAGCAAGGACTCTGTCTCCGGCCACACGTCCCGAGGGGTGCCCTGCACTCATGACGCCAGCCTTCGCCACGTTCCTCAGTCTGCTAAGTTTCTTCCCACTTTACCGTGCCTCTACTTCCCCAGACGATGGCCTGCTCAGCTCCTTTTCAGCCTTCAACCTCTCCTGGGAGGAGCCCTTCCTTCCAGCAACCTCAGGTATCCTCCCTTTCACCAACGCTAATACCTTTCATCATGTGACCCTATTTGTCTTCGTCAAACTTCTTACTAGTTACATTATTTTGTTTGGGGGGATAAGGGGGGAGGGACAAAATGGGAGATGGGGACTGATGTATACACACTACTGTATAAAAATAGAGAATTAATAAGGGACCTACTATACAGCACAGGGAACTTTACTCAGCACTCTGTAATGGCCTATATGGGGAAAGAACCGAAAAAAGAGTGGATGTATGCACATGTATAATTGATTTACTTTGCTGTATAGCTGAAACTAACACAATCCTGTAAATCAACTATACTCCAAAAAAAGCTTTAAATAGAGAAATGCTTTTGTTGTCCGTCTCCCACACAGGAATATTAGCTCAGTGAGGATGGGGGCACAGTTGTTCCTGGCCCTCTGGGACACTGCCCAGTTCAGTGGCCAGGAGTCACTTAATTAATACATTCTTGTCGCATAAATGAAGGCATGAACATCAGTGGCGGCTCTCTGCAGTTTATGCCTTTATTATTCAACAATCATTTCTTTCTCGTTGTAAGCATGTTCTTATATTTCAGGAAGGGCTCAGCAACACTGGCAACACCAATGACATGTCCAGGAAACTCAAAAACCCACGTGTGCACTTCCTAACACTGCTAATGACTTCTCAGGAGCAGGCATCGAAGACTTGCACATGATCAGGACTGCATTTAAGGCAGTCAGCTTATTCCAAAGATGTATTTTTCAAAGTTGGACTCTTTTATGAGTCACGGGTCACCCAGGTGAACATCCCCACTTCAGTTCTGATGGAGAAGAAGGAAATGCATATTAATTAGCAGCATGGGAAATGGGAGTGCCAAGGAAGGCCCCGCTGGGTCATAACTTTTCCCTTTGAAGACGTGTTTGTCAATTTCACTTTCCTCGAACCTCTTAACCAAACTGTGGAGACTTCATCTCAAAAGAAGATATTTATCTAATAAAGAGACACAGATGAGAAAAATGGCACAGCTCCCTCTATAATTACTTAGCATGCTAAACAGCAGGGCCAAGAAATGTTATCTTTAAGTTTATTCAACAAATAGGGGATGCATGTGGGAGGACTGGAAAGGGTAAACGTCAATAATATATGTATTTTTTGCAGCTGCTGAGAGAGATGAATTCTACACATTTACATTTTCTTTGTTGTGTTTAAGGGCAAACTTGAGCCCTGAAGCAAAGGAAGGGAAAGCATGCAAACTAAATTTTCTTTCCTACTGTCTGCTGTATGTCTTTGGGTAGGCAGTCTTTCTTCCAGCTTCCCAAATCTCCTTCAGTCTGACCATAATGATCTTAAATTTCCCCAAAGCTTAATTAAACTTGAGCAGGTTTCTTCCAGACTTCAGACTCTGACCTCCCCTTTCTTGGAGCATCGCTTTTAGAAACTTGCTATTATTAATTGTTTCTCTGAACTTTTGAGATGTAAATCTTTCGCGACCAGGAATGCCTTGCTCAAGGACCTAGGAACCATCTTTGAAATGGTATCATCAAGAAAGACAGTGCCCCACCTCTGGAAGGGTAGGAACCAAGTTTCCTAAGTAAACCTTTGTGTTCTAATCACAGAGATAATCCAATCCCCGAGTCCTCCGGCACTTTCTGCTAGTTTATCCCAGAGTTTAAAACTCTCCCTGCTTTTTGTTTCTGTTGAGTTCAGTCTTGCCTATTTAATTTCCTGTGATGCAATTTCCTTTTAATAGATCACACATGTCATTAGAATTTTCTAGTTATACATGTGAAACCCTGGACCAAACCCATCTGACCAAAGATGATTAAGGATGCCGAAACACTCAGGAATTTGGCTACAGGAAGTAGGGAGCACGTTCCCTGTTCAAACTTTTAGTCAGGAGATACCTTTTAATGAAGAGAACCCATTTGATGGCGAATGACCCCTCTGGAAAGATGCTCTTCAAGGGATTTTTAGCAAGAGGAAGAACTAAGTATAGTAAGGCATAGAAGGTAGTCATCAAGAGAAACACTCCCTTTAGATTCAGAATTCTTATGCTCTGGCTATTATACTTACATTTTTTTTCACTTGTAAAAGAGGGATAATCATAGCATACTTCTGATAGCCTGTTCATAGGATTCAATAAAACAGATCATATATATCCAATGCTTAGAATAAACACCAGTAAAAGATGCATCAATGTTAATTTCTATCACTACCAAACATCATCATTATTATTCAACCTGTTACTGAATAGGGGAATGACTTTAAGACAGTAACTTTCCATTTGGGGACCACAATTTCCTAACACTATACTAATGGGTTGGACCAGATAAGTCCCAAGTTCTGTCTGTGGTTCTAATGAGGAGGTAGTTGTTGGACTAATGGATCGGTGCCCATTAGTGACACTGGTGACATCCCGTAGGGAGAGAGGAAAGAAAGAGAGCATTGGATAGAAAAGAACAAGAGCCAGCCAGCAGGGTAATTTCAGAGCATGGGCCCTGGGTCTTGATGGTTTGAAGCCCAGCTCCCCCACTTACTAGCTGGAACAAGTTATTCACCTCTCTGAAAAAAGTTAATCATATCGCTACCCTACACTAGGATTGTTATGACAACTAGATGCATCCCCAGAGCATAGAAAGGAGATGGAGAGGAAGGAGAAACAAAAGCTCTTCTCCATTCGGGCTGCTCGGCTGAGAGGTCTCCTCACTGATGGGACCTTGGAGGCAAACCACAGCTCTGGTTGACTTTCACTTACTACCGGGGCTTCTCAAACCTCTTTAGGGGCTGGGGGAGGGAGGAAACACTATGAAATCTAACAGGCAGCCACGTGAGGAGGAACAGTGTCCTCACACGTGTTCAAAGTTGCTTACAAACTGCTTTCTGAATTTGAAGGTCGAGTTGGCGAAATGAGAAATGAAAAACAGAACCTTCATCAGAATCAATTGATTCTAGAACTGGGGCAATTGATACTACTTGGACCATGAGTTCATGTGTCTCTGTCTCAGTCTCTCTATCTCTTTCAGCCCCTCATCTCACTTCCCCTCCTTCGCTCGATCCTCTCTCTTGCTCTCTCTGCACAGCATCTATTTCCCTATCTATTTTCTTTTAAATTCCTGCTCTTTAAATTTTGATTTTCCAGGATGCATTAGCACCATTTTCATATCAACAATAAAAGTTCATATTTTTACCATCTACTAAAGCACTTAGTGCAGATCCATCTGACTATCTTTCTGCAGGAAAAAAAAAAAAAAAAGACACCAAAATGAAATGAAATCAATTTTGTATAAACTGTTTTTTTTTTTAATCTCATTTTCCATCAAGGATTCCACCTTTCCATTTCAGTAAATTTTCATTCCATGTGATACCCTGACCACATTCAGTTTCCCCAACTGATGACAAGAGTGTTCTGTACAGCTGTTTGTTCAAACTAATATTCTGTCCACGAAGATGCACCACATGTGCTTATTATGACTCCTCCCTTGCTTCTAAACCAGTAGAGTGATTTTTAAATGATACATATTTGTGGAAGATATTTTCAGAGCATTTAGACATTGGCAGATTCTTCTTAATAATCAAGACTCTGAGTTTGAACTTAAAAAAATAAAGGCTCAATATTAACCATTTTCTTTTATAATGGGTTTTAAATCTATAAACATCACAAAAATATCAAATGGAGTGAATCAGCCTTCCACATAATGAAATTCACTCTTCTCTTCCTAAGGTAAGTGAGTGTATAGTTACTCTATGGGCACCAAAGCCAGTTCCAAAAAAAAAAAAGACAACAAACTGTCTTGGGGTTTTGTGGTCCCTACTTTGCTGGTGAACCACACCTTCCTCAAAAGAGGAGATGAGACTTGACTCAGCTCTTTCTCAACCACTACCCTCTGTTCTCTGTGTAGATTCATAAGCCAGCATGGCCTCTGGTGCCAAGGTACCAAACCATCTCATCTGAGTGATGGATGCAGACAGTGATGGATCAGCAGATGGACCACTCACCATACACTGCGATGGTCTTTGTGTCTTGCAGGATGGCATTCCCAGCTGAGACCTGCACTGTGATGGTGTTCATCCCTTCAGAAGTAAACTTGAATGCTATGCTTCCCTCTAAGGTGATCAGGGGCTAAAGCAAATGAGGACACAGAATGAGGGGAGAGATTTTCAGTTACACACAAGATAGGCACTAACTCTGAACCACCAACAAGCTCCTTAAATTAGCGGAGGCTCTTTGTGGGGCACCCCCTGTGTGACTGACTCGATCTATGCCTCCCTATCACCTCGAGACCAGTCCAGAAAGGGATTACCACAGACATGACCCCCAAGAAACTCTACTCATTCCTTGTGAATCTGACAGCTCTTTTCTGCTACCATCCTGATTCAGGACTGGGGAGATCAATAGGCCTTGCCTGCTGGTAGGGTGTCTCTCTGTCAATAACCTACTCATCAAACAGATCCCTTAACCCAAGGCAACATTAAAATCAGGCCAAAAGGAGGGGCTCATATTAATCCAGATTTAAGCCATAGTCACTGAAAGTGTATAGCTGCCAGCACTTCTCCCCAGGGTACACTGCTTATATAAAACTACAATGGAACACAGTGACCGTGGACACCAAAACTACATCAGTTAGGCAGGTGTTGGCCTTGTGTGGCTTGGTTTGCTCTGAGAAGCCCCATCAACAACTTCCTGGAAGGAGCTGCTATGGAAACAAATACTAATTGGATCGTGGTTTGAGGACTCAAAAAAAAAAAAAGATTTGGATCAGCTCCTGTAATGCAACTGGACACCAGGGTTCTGGGGGAAAGGATTATTAGCCTCCCGACCTCCCTCCGCTCACTCCCCACAAACAGTTCATTCCTATCTTTTCTTTAATTAACTTAAAAATCAAAATTCATTTAACTCCCTGTGTAGCAGAAGGTAGACTAAAGCCCAGCATAAGAAGTCTGCTTAAAAGAATCTGTTGAGAATTTAGTTTTCTGCTAAAAGCTTAAAAAAAGAAGCAGCAGCAGCAAGTAAGTTATTTAATAGTTTCACCTCCTAGTACTAGCATTCAAGCAAGTAACATACATTTCTCTTCTCCTGTGGATAGTGGGCCCAATCTGGACCCAATTTGCATGTACAGCTTTAGAAGAAATTAAAAAAAAAGGCTTCTTTTCAGCTGATTTATGTCAGCAGGAGAGGTGAGAGATTCCTTTGACTGTCAGGCACGCAGCAGGTCTGGTGTCAGGAGAGGTTTCCTCCCTGGGCTTGTGTGAAATTATGGCTCCAGTTAAAGCCAACACTCAGCTCTGGGGTAGAAAGAGATTTGTATTCTCACAAGATGCATTGCGTTTGAAGAGCAAAGTTATAAGCGACAGCACCTCTGCTGGAAGAAGATGAAACTCTCCATTCAGAGCCATTGGTCCGGGGTCCTCTGGGGAAGATGTTGCCAGGCCTGAGTTCTACTGACTTCATTGACATTTGCAAGCAAATTTTAATTTCTGAGGATGGAGTGTGCTCCAAACTGAATCAGAGCATGCAGCCTGGTGTGCGGGGAAGAGAAACCCAGGCAGGCATGAGAAGGCCTCGTATCTGCATGAAGCAGCTGAATGAGCCTGGAGGAAGCCACTTCATCTGTGTCTTCCTCACTTTCCTCATCGGTAAAATGAAGGACTCAGGGTACATGAGGTCTAAGGTCTCCACTGGTTTCAAACTTGCTGCTGACTTTGGGTCACAGGGAGTGTTTGGAGGAAACATAAAGCAGGAAGCTGAGCTAGAGAAGGGGCCATTTCTGATCCAGGCTGGCAGGTCATGGGGTGGACGGGCCATAGGGCAGGGGGGCATGTCTGATCCAGAATGGAGGACAAGGGCGAGGGGCGGGCTGCACAGACATCTGTGGCTCTTGTCTGTCTGGTGTCCACTGGTCTCTTTTCCTCTCGAGGGCCATTCTCTCCCTTCTCTCGGTCTAGACGGATCTAGGAAGGTTGACTTCAACAGCTCTGTTTCTGCCACCAGCACCGTGATCAAGGCATGGCCAATATTATTAGTCTGTTCCGGGACTTCTGCTGGAAGTTTGGGAAAGATGGCTCATTTGCTCCGCTTAGCTGTGACAACATAAAGCTCAGGCTTCTGCTGAGGGGCACTGTGGAGTAAAGCCCACGTGGAGAGGAACGCTGACTCACAGGAAGGCAGGGGTAAGAGGTAGGGGTGCAGGCGTGAGAGAGACAGAGACATGCTGAAGAGATGACTGAGGCACTCAGAGCCTGCCATTCCAGAGGTTGCCACAACTCCTGGACTCTTGAGCTGTGTAAGTCCCTTCTTTCCCTTTATTGCTACAGAGGAGCCACGCAGACCCCGCGCGGAAGGCTGACTCACCTCGGTGTTGTTTCCGTACCACCACACGTAGGTCAGGGTGCCCACCTGGCTGGGCCACAGCACGGCGGTTGCGTTGACCTCTTTGTTCTTCGTGGTGACAAAGGGAAGAGACAGGTGGACATGCTCCAGGGGACCTGAGGCACAAGGGGAGAGAGGAGGATGGGGAGGGAAGAGCTCTTTCAGCTTTGCCTTCCCTGCTCTGAATCCACAATCCTTCTGGAAGCCTCCGAAACATCAGTTGTGTTCCCGGAAGGAAGTGCTCAGGTGCCACCCCTACTCTGGGGGAAAGGGATATATTGGGAACAATTGCGTCTCCATCCTTTCCATTTACAGATCTTTCTTCCAGGTCTAAATCCTGAGTTATTTCTGTGTAAAAGCTTAAAAAGCTACAAGTAATTGATGAAGTCCTTAAAGGAACAGGAATAATATGAGATTTCACAGGGAGATGCAAAGTGTTTCCAAGAAACCTCCCAGGATCCATGTTGGGTGGCAGCTGGGGATGGCTATTATACAAATCCCCAAAACTTTCTACATGTAATTATTTTGTATTCTTTATTGGATTTTAAAGATGTATGTGAGTATATGTAAATGTGTATGTGTGTGTGTGTAACTGTTTGTGTGGGTGTCTGTGTAGCCTCCCGGTTAGGTAAGCAGGGGGCTGAGGTGAGCCTGTCCAGGACAAAGACAGGCAAGAGCGGGCAGAGAGAGAGAGTTCTGTGGTTCTCAGGTTCTCAGGATGCGCTCAGCTGAAAAGTAGGATGATTCTACCTATAGAGGCCCAGTGGACCAGAAACTTCAGTCAGATGTACAAACCCGCAAATAAAACAGTATCCTGTTCCTTGAGAACCACTAGGCTGACCCTGGAATCCCCTGACTTTCTCTTCAAGTCGCTGTTACCAGACAAAATGCATTCTTGGTTGAGGGGAACATGATAAAAATCGACCACCACCACCTATATTCATGAGATGGAGAAGAAAGTGGTCCTCAGGCCTTTGCACATGTTTTAATCACTGTCTCCTCTTCTAGTTGACCATATGATGCATTTTCTAGAGTAAGTCTTTGACCTCTTTCTCCCTCTATTTTCTTTTCTGCTGAGGGATACCATCCACACTCTGACCTTCAACTATGAACCACATGCTTAGGGCTCCAAAACCACCTTCTTGACTCCAGACTCAGTTGTTTATTTGTGCTCAGTCATGTCTGACTCTTTGCAGTCCTATGGACTGTGCAGATTAATCTGCCAGGCTCCTCTGTCCATGGAATTTTCCAGGCAATAGTACTGTAGTGGGTTGCCATTTCCTCCTCCAGCAGATCTTCCTGACTCAGGGATTGAACTCACATCTCTTGCATCTCCTGCATTGCAGGCTGGTTCTTTACCACTAGCACCACCTTGGAAGCTCCCAGACTCAATTGACAGCCAGATATCCCTAAGAAATACACTGTCTCCCCCCACTCCCGACCATCCTGTATACTCCAATCTTGATGAATAACACCAGTGTTAATCCAGGGGAACAACCCAGAAGCAGAAAGTCAGTCTTGATTCTTTATTTCTTTGCTGCCCACATCTATTTAGGAAACCACTGATTTGGTTTCATAAACTCTCTCTCAGAGCTCTTCACATCCTGCCCTGGTTCATACACTATATGCCAGCCTCACCTGGAGCAGTAGAACTTTCTCACAGATTTTCCAGGCTCTAACCTTTCCACTAGAGCCAGACATCATGGAATGAGAGTCAAATGGGCCTTAGGAAGCATCACTACAAACAAAGCTAGTGGAGGTAATGGAACTCCAGTTGAGCTATTTCAAATCCTATAAGATGATGCTATGAAAGTGCTGCACTCAATATGCCAGCAAATTGGGAAAACACATCAGTGGCCACAGGACTGGAAAAAGTCAGTTTTCATTCCAATTCCAAAGAAAGGCAATGCCAAAGAATGTTCAAACTACCGCACAATTGTACTCATCTCACATGCTAGCAAAGTAATGCTCAAAATTATCCAAGCCAGGCTTCAACAGTACATGTACCATGAAATTCCAGATGTTCAAGCTGGTTTTAGAAAAGGCAGAGGAACCAGAGATCAAATTGCCAACATACGTTAGATCATTGATAAAGCAAGAGAGTTCCAGAAAAACATCTACTTCTGTTTTATTGACTATGACAGACTTTGACTATGTGGGTCACAACAAACTGTGGAAAATTCTTAAAGAGATGAGAGTACCAGACAACCTGACCTGCCTTCTGAGAAATGTGTATGCAGATCAGGAAGCAACAGTTAGAACTGGACATGGAACAACAGACTGGTTCCAAATCGGGAAAGGAGTATGTCAAGGNCAACCAGTCCATCCTAAAGGAAATCAGTCCTGAATATTCATTGGAAGGACTGATGCTGAAGCTGAAACTCCAATACTTTGGCCACCTGATGTGAAAACCAAACTCATTGGAAAAGACCCTCATGCTGGGAAAGATTGAAGGTGGAAGGAGAAGGGGATGACAAAGGATGAGATGCTTGGATGGCATCACTGACTCAAAGGACATGAGCTTGAGTAAGCTCCAGGAGTTTGTGATGGACAGGGAGGCCTGGTGTACTGCAGTCCATAGGGTCACAAAGAGTCAGACACAATTGAGCAACTGAACTGAGGTGACCTGAACGAAACCTTTTCCCATTCTAATCTACCCTCCTGCTCTGCGCGTCAAAGCCTGCCTCCCTCGATGATACATAAACTGGGGGCTTCCCTGGTGGTCCAGTGGCTAAGATTCCACACTCCCAATGCAGGGCGCCCAGGTTCGATCTCTGGTTGGGGAACTAGATCCCATGTGCTACAACTAAAGATCCCATGTGGCGCAACTAAATAAATAAAGATTAAAAAAAGCAATACATAAGCTAGACCAAGTCCCAGGTGGCCCCATCACTTAGAATAAAACATACAATCCAGGGCAAGGGCAGAGCAAGTACAAAGACTCAGAGGAGGAGGGGGATCTCTATGTTTGAGGAATAGTGAGAAATGGAGAAATAAATGGAGGGAAAGTGTAGAAGACAATGAGATCAGAGATAATCAGGACAGAGAGCACATTGGCCTTGAAGGCCCAGAAAGATGTATATGTGTGTTTGTGTAAGTTCTTTCTTGCATATGTATAAGTACACATTATACATTCATGCAATGTATAGCAATGACCATGTGCCTCCTCACCCTCCAACTTGTGAGTGATATGTCTAGAAAGTGATGCTACTCACATGCTCAAAATGAAAATTTCCATTATATAATTAATAATAATGATGATAGCTAACACATTCAGATCTAAAATTTGTGAGATAGAGAACACAGGCTGAAAACTTTCGGAGGGAAGAGTCCTTCATATTTATCTTTATATAGAGAGAAAATTGAATGGACATAGGAGTCTGGCGGGCTACAGTCCATGTGGCCGTAAGGAGTTGGGCACGACTAAGTGACTTAGCACACACACAGGGATGCGCAGGTCCTGAGACACAGCAGGTGCTGCATTATTGGCTGGGTCACTGAACAAAACAGGGTATCAAAGAGCTGGACATGACTTAGCGACTAAACAACAAAGTGAACAAAAACATAATTTCCTGTTTCTTCCATCTGTGATTTCCTCTCTCTATAGATTAGAGGCTTGGAGACCAGGAGAACAGAACTAATTTTCTGGTTTACAAGCCATATGATAAGAAGTTAGTCGATCATAAGTCAGAATTGTTCAATGAGATAATAAAAGGGGAACATTTACTAAGCGGTGGCTGTGTACCAAATAGTCTGTGAATGACTTCTTGTTCTCATTTAATCTTCATAATAACCTTATGAAGTAGGCACCATTATCAGCTCCATGCAGAGACGAATTAACAGAGGAAGGTCACCTTCCTCCACTCCAGGGTGTGAACCAAAACAGTTCAAGTTCAGAGCCTGGGCCAGCCGACAAATGCTTGCTGAGACCCATGTTAACAAAAGAGCTGTTAAGAGCCTCTACTTACTGATGACTCAGACGTGCTGCAGACAGTGGGACATGCTTGTTACACAGACTCTTGTTTATTGCACGGCTCCTGCCGCCCCTCATCATGTGGTGTGCTCCAGCGGATGCCCTGTCCCACCGGAGGACCCTACTTTCACACCTTTCTGATGGCACCTGTCCCCTCCTCTGTGACACTCCTCCTGACTCCCCAATCAGAGTTACGTGAATCAGCTAGAATGCGAGAACGAGATAAGCTCAGGGAGACCAGCCATTTCCATCCTAAAAGGGGTCATCTTGGTCTCTCTTGAACATTCAATGATTTTTAAAGTCCAAAGGTCAAAATAAGGACAATGTCTGCGTGTCCTCTTAATGACAAAGTTGAATCTTGTTCCTGAAGTATGGTCGTCCCGTCACTCAGTAGTTCCTGTCAGGCATTACTCTGCGTGCTGGGACACCTGGCCCTTGATGGCACTTACGTATTAGGGAGGCAGGCAGTGAATGCAAGGAGCAGGGCTAGTGAGAGCATGCTACTTTCGATGGGTGGTCAAGCAAAGTCTCTCCGAAGGAATGACATTTGACCAGCCACCTGAATAACATGTATGAGTCCACCATGCATCTCCTCGGGAAGCTCCAGGGTAAGGGTAGGGCAAAGACCTTGAGAAGGAGGTAGCCGGTCAGTGTGAGGACAGCAGGAAACAGAGGCAAGGAGCAGAAGCAAATGAGGTCTAACTGGCGTTCAGGACTCTCAGCAGGTACTTTAGGTGCTGAAGAATGTCCATGTGTGTTTGTATAAGTTCCATCTTGCATATACAGACATACACACACATGCATGCACACACACACATCATCTGTTCATACAGATGTGAACTTTAGCTTTCAGATAGCTAAGTCCTCTTGCTTTTTATCTGTTTAATATACCTGATTTCTGTTGCTTCAAAGCCGAGCTTTCAACCCTCACTTTTCTGCACAGACGGATCTGCCCTAACGGAACCTTGGAAGTGAAACTGTAGCTCTTGGAAGCCTCAGGCTGGTTAGCCACATTCATCTGAGAGCTGAGCAAGCTGGCGGATACTGCTTCCTCCGACAGGTGCATGCAATACACAAAATGGACAGACGGTGGCGCTCCATTATTCCTTATGAATCTTCTCAACGTGGCTGGGTGAACTGGGA